TCCTATAAGAGGTTTTTATAATTTTAGTAGTTTAATAATAAAGTTAAGTAATATAGATTATTAAGTAGTTTATAATATAAGTAAAGGTTATAATATACTATAAAGTTAATATTAAGTAGGTTTACTTTTTAGGTATACTTCATAATTCTTAATTATTTTTACTATATATTCTCTTATAACCTTTTCTCTATATTATTATTATAGTTACTTCTAAGTTTTTATAATTCCTTAGTAGCTATATATAGGGTAAGTATAAAACTCTATAATTACTTTATTATTTAACTTACTAAGTAAGCTAATATTAGATTATCTAGCTATTATTAAGAGTTTAGTTATTAGTATTAAGTCTCTATTATCTTATTATTTAAGAATTATTTAGGTTTCTTTAAGTATTAAGATATTATAGTTTAGTTATTAGTTAAGAGCATTTACTCTACTATTATCTAATCCTTTTTAATAGATTATTTAGAAGTTAAATTCTAAGAGGAATTCTAACTATTAGATTTATTATTTATTAAGTATTTTTAAAGTTATAAAGTATAAGAGATTCTTATAGTCTAAGTATATAAATACTTTATAAATTATTCCTAAGAGTTTAGGTCTCTATTCTTTAAAAACTTTAATAATTACTATAAGTTCTTTATTATAGATTTAGTAGTTAAGCTTAGGTCTATAAAACTTATAAGAGAAAAAGGTATAAAGGTATAGTTATCCTTTTAAGTCTTATTATAATAACTATACTCTAATTATATAGTTAGATATATTAAGCTCTATTTTAAATTATTTTATTAGGTTTAGGATAATTAGAATAGGTTTACTAGTAATAAGGTCTTTAATTTTCTAGAATACTATCTATTATAGTTCTTTCTATATAAAGGGTATATTTTTATAACTAAAGCTAGTAAGAGCTATATTAATCTTATTATAGTTTTTAATAAACTTATAGTAGAAGTTAATAAAACCTAAGAATCCTTAAACTTCCTTAAAGTTATTAAGTACTAGCTATTCCTTAATAGCTTTAACTTTATTTCTTAATATATAAACCTTCTTAAGGGTAATAGTAAATCTAAAGTATTCTACTTTTTATATATAAAATTTACTTTTTTTAAGTTTAATTAAGAGTTTAGTTTCTTAGAAGGCTTATAAGATATAGTGAATATTTTCTTTATATTTCTTAAGTATAGGTAAGAAAATAAGGATATTATCTAAGTAGATAACTATATAGATATTAATATATTTATATAGTATTATATTAATTATATTCTAGAATATTATAGGTATATTAGTAAAACTAAAAGGTATAATAAAGTACTTAAAATATCCTTTTTATATTCTAAAAGTAGTCTTCTATTCTTTACTTTACTTTATTCTAATTAAGTTATAAGCTCCCTTAAGGTTAAGAACTATAAACTAATTAGCTCTATATAAAAGTTATCTTATTTTATTTATAAAGAGTAGTAAGTAATAATTTTTTATTATTATCTTATTAAATATATAATAGTTAATATATAATTATAATTTTCTATTCTTTTTTAGTATAAATAGGATTAGGCTTCCTATTAGGGATATTAAAGGTCTAATATAACCTTTCCTAAAGTTTTCTTTAAAGTATTTATCTAGAACTTCTATTTCTATTAGGTTAAGTCTATAAATCTTATTAAATTATAGTTCTTTTCCTTCTTTAAGGGGAATTTTATAATTAAAGTTAGTATATTTAAGTAGTTTAGTTTCTAATTTAGCTATAAAAAGTTTCTTATAAACTCTATACTCTTCTAAGATAAATAGAAGTAGATTATTTTTTTATTTAAAATTTATTATTATTAATAGTTATAAAATAGCTTACTTTACCTTAAAGTAGTAGATATATTATCTTATAGTTCCTTATTATATTAGCTTATTTAAAATCTATTTTTAATAAAACTACTTAGGGATTAAGTTATTATAGTCTTAATA